ATAAATAATTTTGTTAAATTTTAGTATTTTATTAACATTTACATGTAAAAATTCTGAACTCACCATGATAAAAATATTTTAAATGGCTTAGTATATTTATGGTTTGAAACCGTTAAAAAAAAATCACATTTGGTAAGAGGAATATTTTAAATTTTTATGAACCAAAATATTTTATAACTACATTGTTGTTTTTGTGTTGGCAGCCAGAAGAGTTTGGAGAGATTACTTTCCTGCTGTCGATGCAATTGTTTTTCTAGTTGATGCAGTTGACAGAGAAAGATTCCCAGAATCAAAATTAGAATTGGATGTAAGTGGTTTGGAAGCATTAGGTTAGGTTATGCAGTGTATTCACCATGTGGACTCTTTTTAATTTTTGTATATTTGTTTGGTATTGAAATGGTGTTTTGGGCTCTATGCTCAATTCTTCATCAGTTCTTGATAATTACAGTGAAAACCCCGATTTTACGCGCCCTGATTTAACGGGAATTCGGATATATAATGCGATGGGTCATTAACTCATTCAACACAGGCTCGGTCCCTGGGACCAACCTCGTAACGTTCAAGCAAAAGAACACTCAATCAGTTTTTTAAGAAATAAACTGCAAATGATGATTGCTAATATTCTTAAATGTTTTTATTTGTTGTTTTGTTTATTAAAAAGCATACTAAAAAATAATTTGTTTTAATTTCAACTGTAACAACAATGATTCATTCTCAAAATTCCTTAATTCAGAGGTAATTTACTTGCCAGAAAGGGAACGTGTAAAAAAAAACTAGTCAAAGAGGGCGAAAATAGAAATGTTTTAGGATATTCGGTCAACATTGGGTCAGTTTGAACAGTGATTGTATTGAACCCCAATTTAGCACGACCCCGCTTGTTTCGTGATGACATTTTATGGACCTCAACGCGTTATAACGGGGCTACACTGTATATTGATTTTTTTTCATAACATTTTATGCTTAAAGACATATTTTAGATTTTTATTGTTTGGATTGCTTAAAAAAGTTACTGAATTTAAAATTTTTTCACACCTACATAAATAAAACCATTTTCACATCTAAATTGATTTATTTTTGACCACCATTAGAATTGTGTCTAGAAATTTTGACTCTAGTTTCAAGTTCCTATGATTTTGTGTCTTGAATAATGTTGGTTATATCTACTGCCTTTAACAGTTTTTCTCCAAATAATTTGATGATAATTTTTTGTTTTGTTTTTATTGTTAATTATTTCCATACATACAGTAATGGCTGCCTTATGGGGGAGAAAAAAAGGTCATTGTGATCGGAACATTGGATATCTATTAAAATATACATTTATATTATTCACATACTGTGAACTAACACTGATCAAGAAACAAAAAACAGAATCTTTCTTTTGTTTTAATTTTTTTTTCCCTAAAATTTTTGGTTCTTCATGGGATTTCACAAGCTTCAGTCTCATTGGTTTTTGTATTAGTAGTATAAACCACATTCAGTCTCTCATCATCAAAAAGTAAGACAGTCACTGACTGACTGGGGGTAAATTATTTCTCCTGTTTTTGGATCCACAATTTTTGTTGGAATTGATTTTAGGGATTCTTCAATTTTTTTATTTTTCATGATCATACAAAATGTACATTTTTAATAACCCTACTCCTAGCCTTTTCTGAAAGTGTACACCTAAAATGAAGCATTTTAAAGAGGTATGAGTGGACATTATAGATACAGTACTAGGAAACAGAAACTCAGTGTTTAAGTCCACAAAAGTTGTTACTGGCCAGTACTTCTGTAAATTAGTTATTGGTTGCAACGATGTCCTTGTTATATAGTTTTAAAAAAGTGCATGAGCTCCCCTCCCCCATGTACATTTTGTATGCTTTTAAAAATGGCAAAAATTGTGAATGACCCCTTACTTTATATTTTTTTCATGTATGACATGTATAAATCCGGCTTTTGTATTTATAGTTAAATGAAGTAATGTACAGCTACTATTATTAGATATTAACAAATAAGTCAGCAGTGCACATTTCAGCTTTCTTAGAGATCATTGTTTTAAGTAATTTTCTGGTATTCTACCAGTGGTCACAATTTTGTCCAACAAAATCAGCTGAAAAAGAATTTAATTATGTGTATGTGTGCAGAACACTACTTCATCACACATTTGACTGCTTTCCTTCCTGGATATATACGTTGTTGTCTGTGCCTTTCTGGTAACTAGTGCACTTTCGCACTAACACCTAATCCGTTTCATAGTAATATCATTCAGGCTTGGTGCAGATCTGTTATAAATGGGGTAAATTGGTTCTGACTCTTATCTTTGATAGCCAAACTCGTAATTTCTGTTCTACTCTTAATATATTTTCTTTGGTTCAGGATTTGTTACGTATTAAGAGTTCATTATATTTTCCATATAGTTTCTCATTCTTTGCTAGTTTGTGGTGCCTGCTTTAGTGACCATACACCTTGTTAGATACTGAACTCAAGTAATTTCATTTTTTCATCATTGTTGCTTTCTGTTTTTCTGTCTTTTAAAAATGTCATGTAAACCAATGTTTGTGATGAACATCAATTTTCACATTTCCCAGAGTTTGTTAACAGATGAGCAGTTAGCCAATTGTCCTGTCCTCATATTGGGAAATAAAATTGATAAACATGGAGCTGCTAGTGAAGATGAACTGAGAGCTTACTTTGGACTCTTTGAACAAACATCGGGAAAGGTAAGTATGTTTATTGCTGAACTTGTATGTAGAGCTGGGTGATTTAGTCAGTTAATCAATTTGATTATTGTATGTATGTGTTAAATTTTTTTTTTTTCATCAGAGGTGCAATTGAAAAAGAATCTGTGATGTTGAAGCCTAATGCATTCTTTGATTTGCTGTACCCTCTGCTGTGTACTACAGTTTGGCCTATCTAAGGTTCACCGGCACAACGTGGGTCAGCAAACCAAAGAAGTACCATAAGGCCTCTTATAATGGTGAAGTGTATTATACGACTAATTGCCCAGCTCTACGTGTGTAGTGGTAAACATAGGATGGTATACTTGTATTGATAAAATGTTTTGGAGAAGTTCTGTAGTTTCAATCAGCATTTCTCAATCCATAGGTCATCAGAATGTGTAAAATATTAGTAGATAATAGTTTGTTTATTCATTTATTTAGTAAGTATTTTATAAGCCAGGTGTTTCTTATACTGAAACTATTTACTGGGTTGAAACAGACCATCAATGTTTACAGATGGGTTCTGAGCAAAAAAAGGTTGAATAATAATTTAACTTGGTGCTTTAAGTCATTATTTGTTACCAGTTGTGTTAAAATTAATGTAAAATGTTTGTTTTATATTACATGCTTTACTCTATTATACACTCTCTGACTGTTTGAAATTTGACATGATTTGTTATCAGTATATTGGATGGCATTCTTTAGATATCACAAAATCTTTATTATTCAAAAGATGTTTAGTTGTGATTAATGATTAATTTTGAATATCATATATGTAGCAAAGATCAACCAGCTTCAGTAATTGACACTGACTGTATCCAAAATGAATTTCTTATTCAAAGTTGTTGTAAAGGCATACATATAATTCATAAAACTTTTAAATGTATGTTGCAATTTTTAAAACATGCACTCTCTTCAAATTTTCATAATTTAATTGATTCTACAATTTTTTTAGGTTTTCAATAATATAAGCATATTTTTAACTAGTATGTAGTTAAACCTGACTAGATTCATTGTTTCACAATTATGGGATGTTTTGTGTTTTTTTTAGGGTAAAGTTCCACGGTCAGAATTACCAGGACGGCCCTTGGAACTTTTCATGTGTAGTGTACTGAAGCGACAAGGATATGGAGAAGGTTTCCGATGGCTGGCACAATACATATGATTATGTTACTTTAACATTTAATATGTAGGTCAATATTCATTACAGTAAAATAATTTCAAACATACTTTACAAAGAAATGCATATGTGTGTTTCATTATCAGATGAAAAAATCGTACATAAAAGATTATGAATATAAGTTATTCTGAAGTGTCACGATTTTGTTAGATATTTCTCTAACAGTTTTGTTTTAGGAATGTTCTTATCTTTTTAAGTCGCAATGTACAGGCTTTTCTTTAATCATACATGTTAAAACGAGATAATTTACATGACATGTTAGAATACACATGAAATAAACATATTTTTGTTTTACTTCACTGTTATTGATAAACGTATATTTTGAAAGTTTGATGGGGGAGGGGGGGATATAAGGCCTGATTTTTGGATCATCTTCGTTGTGATGTATACTTTTATGTAATTCTATGAAAGTTGGCACACATCATGAATTTTTAAACTAACAAAGAAATATAACAAAATATTAATAACTATAACAAGATTTCATCACCATAACTACATCATAAGTATGTATGTCTGTATCTACATGTTTAAGAAAATATTTACATTCAACAGCACCTTGTTTAATTGTATTAAAAAAATATAGAATACAGTTTGGTGCTAAAATACTAATCAATGTGATGCATGTATAGTTAAACTCATCACATCTCAATTGAGCTACTTTTATAATTCAAAAAATATTTCCTTTTTTACTTTAAAATAAAAGTTACATGCATGCACACACACACACACACACACACACACACACACACACACACACACACACACACACACACACACACACACACACACACACACACACACACACTATATATATACTACTACTAGTAGTAGTGTCTACTATACTATATACTTATATCTATATTATTAACTTAAGTGTTACTAC